TTTGTTATTGTAGGGTTGCTCACAAATATGCTCAGCTGCACATGCGAGTTTGCTTCCCTGGCACCGCACTGCTTGTGAGGGCCACGCTGGCAAGACGGCTTTGTTATTGTAGGGTTGCTGACCGTTATCTAGTTGTTAAGAAGGGGGGAAAGGCAACGCCCCGACATTCTGAGAAAAACTCGTCCTTGTAATTCTGGGAACTTTGCAAACAGTTGGAAGGAGCAAAGGGACAGATAGTGCAAAGGTTGGCCCCTAAGTCCTGCCCTGCCCCCTTTACTTCCATTGACATGGAAAGCAGAATTACGAGACGCAAGGCTGCTCGGTTCAGAGACAGCAACACGCTTTTCAAATCAGACTGGTTCCATCCAAGACTTTCTCACTGTACAATGCCAAGGGACTAGCCCAGGGATTCCTGCGCTCTTGGAATGAAATTGCTGCGCCATCCCGACTGTATTGTAAGAAGTCTGTGATCATGAAGGATTTTATGGTTGTCACTTGCGTTTGTTCTCGAGCAGTGGCTCTCAAACAGGGGTACGCAGAGGTCTTCAAGAGGGGGACATCAACTCATCATGATATTTGCCTAGTTTTATAACAGGCTACAGAAAAAGCACCAGCGAAGTCAGTACAAACTAAAATGTCATCCAGACAATGACTTGTTTATCCTGCTCTATATACTAGACACTGAAATGTAAGTAAAATATTTATATTCCAATTCATTTATTTTATAATTATATGGTAGAAATGGAAAGGTCAGCAATTTGTCAGTAATTGTGACTTGTGTATTTTTATGTCTGATTTTGTAAGCAAGTAGTTTTTAAGTGAGGTGAAACTTGGGGGTACGCAAGACAAATCAGACTCCTGGAAGGGGGACAGTAGACTGGAAAAGGTGAGAGCCACTGTTCTAGAGAAATGATGATATGATATTATTTATTTGTATTTGCTGGAAGGAAAGATAGTCTGACGGTTAAAGCACGGGCCTGGAGATCTGGATATAATTCCTGCTTCTGACCTGATGTGTTACTTTAGGCAGGTTGCATAACTTCTTGGTGCCTCAGTTTCCCCATCTGTGCAAAGAGGGTAATGCTACTTCCCTATCTCCCAGGGGAGTTGGGAAGATAAAATCCATTCATGACTGTGAGGTGCTCAGTCACTGTGGTGACTGGGAGCATATCGATAGGACACATTTTTGATAGAAAGTAAAATTTTAGGTTCAAGTTTTCATTGGATCATTATAAATAAGGGGGAGGAAAAAACTATGAGAAACTGATTAGTAAAGTGGGTTCTCAATCTTCATGCTTCATGGTACACACCAGCTGTGGTCAGGAAGAAATTGCCCCGTGGGATATTACTTAGACAGGTGCGTTGGTTTTATGCTTTTCTCCAAAGCACCAGTCAGAGACAGAGTCCCAAACTCCCTGACCTGAGACAGGCAAGCCCTGTGACAATGTCCTTGAGGCTATAACAACAGACAGCCAGCCAGGACTCTGGCTCAGCCCCGCATCTTGAAGGGCATTTGCTTTGCTTGTATGTGAATTAAGTTTCCACCTGACTCCTTTGCTCCTTGGCAGAGTTTGGTGCAAAAGGAGCCGATTCTGCCGGCCTGGGTTGGGGGTGCTCTGCTACTCCTAAATCAGTGGGGCTACGTGAGGAGCCAGGTGCCTTTCCATGGGAGTGGGGCGGGGGGGCCGGTTGCCCGATGGCTTTACCAAGAGCCTGGCTGTTCCAAACGGCGCAGATCAGCTCTGTTCCAGGCAGACCTTTCACCCGTCATCCCCCACCCGGCAGCTCCTCTCCCCAGGGTATCCAATACCTGGCAGGTGCGTATCACCTGAAACCGGCCTGGTATCAAATTCGCCTCCTGACATTCACGGCCATCCCAGCAGTGAGGGAACCGCACCAACCGATGGGCAGACACCGCTTCCCCGGGCGAGAGGAGTGTCAAGGCCTCGGGCTGGGAGGTGAGGGGGCCCAGGACACCCAGGGGTGCCCTTGGCACCTTGGGGGGAGGAGGTGGAATATGCCCAGTTCTCTGCATGGGAGGGACCCAGCCCCAACTCCCGCCTCTACGCTGTTTCTTTGAGAGAGGGGGTAGAACCAAACCACTGAGTTCAAACAGTCTCCTCTTGACTTCATCAGAGCATGGCCTAGGGCGAGCGGGGAGGAGGGAATCGCTGGGACAGAGTCCTTGGTCCAGTTCTGTGTTCCTTCCACGAGGACCTCAGGGTTCAGCCCACTCATAATAATTAGGAACAATAGGAGTGGGAGCCAGGACTCCTGGGTTCTCTTCCTGGCTCTGGAGTGGGGGCTGGTGGATGAGAGCCAGGGCAAGGTGGGAGTCAGGACTCCTGGGTTCTTTTTCCCAGCTCTGGAAGGGGAGTGGTGTCCAGTGGGTGGAAGAGGGGGGACTGGGAACCAGGACCCGTGGGTTGTGTCCCCAACTCTGCCACTGAGGTGCTGTGTGATTTTGGGCGAGTCACCCGCCCAGTTCAGTAAGGCACTTCGGCACGTGTCCCTTTGAACACGCAAGCCCGGATGGGCTTAAAGTGCCACATGTGTTTCAGTGCCGTAACGTGCTGCCTCCGTTTCCCCACTTGTCCAACGGGGCTCACCCCCCGCACGCCCTTTGGAAAGCGGGTTGCGATCTCGTAGGAGCGCTCGGCCTTCTTATTAAGAACAGCTGGATCGGATTTATACGGCCGAGCTCGCCGAAGTGCCAGACGCCCTGCCACAAAATACAGCCAAATTCTACCGTCCTGGGGACAGCGGAAGGAGGAGCCGGACAGGGCTTCCCAAAGGGTGGCTGGGAGGGTTTGGGGGATGGGGGGCAGCTCTGTGCCACAGGGGCACCCCAGCAACAGGCCGTCACCTGCTGCCTTCGGTCCCCAGCCCCAGGTGACGGATGGAGTGTGACTGTCCCCGCAAGGTGGGCGTCAGAGCCATCCCGGGCCGCGGGCCCCTGGGCAGAGCCGCCCTCGCTCCGCTGCCCACCAGGGAGGGGCACCACCACCAGGCCCGGAGCAGGGATCCCAGCTCACCTGTCCGGCCTCT